CATGTTTCAGATCATGGCATTTTAGAGATTCTGTTTTAGTAATGAAATACCTGAAGAAATTCTTTTCCTAGGGGGCCATCAAAGGAAAGATATATGGGAGAAGATAGATTCACAACTGAAATGATCCTTAATAAAAAGAATGTTTTATGAAAAAAATTGTGGAGGTGTAACTACTGAAGAAATAGCTGCTTTAACTCAAATAAATATAAGGCGTCAGAGATACTATCTCAAACAAAATTCATTCACTAAATAATTCTAGGCAAGAATTTGCCACAAGGAAGTCAAAGCAGAAGCGTATAGGATGTCACCTATGTAGTTAATTTTAGAAATATGAGCTCTTTAAAATATATTAGAATTTTTGCTATAAATGAAACAGGGAGAGACTATAAAAATCTGCTTTTCCGCAAAGAAATACACTGGTTAACAAGTAGGAAAGTACTTAAAAGAGTTGTTCATCTTTAAGACGAGTGTTCCAAATGTGGTCTTTTTTTTTTTTTTTAATAACAAGTGGCTGTCAATAGTATGCTACCAGCAGATTTTTTGAAAAATAAACACGATGTGTCTCTTTAAAACAAAGTATATATTTTTAAAAGAGTTAAGTGCTAATTAAAAGCAAAAGAAATTTTTACAATAGATAAAGCATTTTCAAAAAGGTAGTTAGAAATGTTTATAGAGTTATGTTTTTTTTTTTTTTTTTTTTTTTTGCTGCCCAAAATAATAAAAATGTGTGACTCATAGAGACCCTACAGGACAGAGTTGAACTGCCCCATAGGGTTTCCAAGCAGCAGCTGGTGGATTCAAACTACCAACCTTTTGGTTAGCAGCCAAATGCTTACCCACTGCACCACGAGGGCTCCATGTCATGTGTTAGAATCTCTTAAACCTGAATGTTTAAAACACTTGGAAACAGAAATTTCTAAACTTTTTAAATCTTCCAAATAACAAGTTTCAGAGGGTTTTGAAAGTATTTGTTAAAAATACTAATTGTTTTGTTGATTATTTTACAGGAATAAATAATTCACAGTAAAAGGAAGTGTATTAGCCAAATGTCAGCAAACTTTTGGCATATTTAATGGATGATATAATAAAATGAGAATCATAATTTAGTTAATACAATCAATGAACTTCTGTTTGGACCTTTGAAATTTTGTATTATATCTTCTTCTGCGATGTCAGCCGTAAAAACCAGATATCTAAACAAATCATGCTTAAAACCAGACCACCAAGTCACTTTATCACAAAGTATTAGACAATGATTTTAACAAATGAGCCTTACTGCTCTAAAGAAAAAAAATATATATATATATAATATTAATAGTATCTTGTGCTGCTTATAGGTTTTTTTACTGTCGATAAAGTTATTTCATACATATTGTTAAGTTTGTATTTATCACGTTTTTAAAATGTCTTTTTTGTGTATGTTTTATAGTGCAGTAGTACATGTATAAAGTTTATTAATAGTAAACATACATGTATTGGAGCTCTGGTGGCCCGGTGGTTAAGAGCTACAGCGTGTTACTGCTGCTAACCAAAAAGGTCAGCAGTTCAAATCCCCCAGCTGCTCCTCGGAAACCCTATGATATAGTTCTACTCTGTCCAATAGGGTTGCTATGAGTCAGAATGGACTCCACGGCAACAGGTTTGTTTTTTGTTTATATACATGTATTGGATATGTATGCTGAACATTTTTACTAATGGGATGCAAAATTTAAGAACGTAGATTGGAAACAAACAGCTGCCTAGCGGAATTAACAAATAATTCTAATGTGTTTGTAGTTCAACAGAGTCTCACACAATGCTAGATGCGCTACTAAGTATTTAAAGCTGAGTTGACTCACTGACCACCACTGAATACAAAGAGTGACAATTTTATGTTTTGTGTATATATATTTCTCCTTCAGCATATACATTTCATTTGGTGAAAGATTCTTCTCCATGAATATATTTGTTTAGGTGTACAATGACCACAGAAGCAGTAATGCATAATGATTGATGGTGCAGTTTCTGAATTTAAATCTAAATCTTGGTGCCATAATTTACTAGCTATGTGATGACATTGAATAGATTACCAACTTCTCCATGTCTCAGTTTCCTTGTGTGCAAAATTGGGAAACAACAGTACCCACTTCATAAGTTTGTGGTGAATATTAAATAAGTTAACATGTGCAAAATTCCTAGACCTATCTCACACATGGAAAGTGCTCACCCACACAAATGCACGCACACACACACACACACACACACGATCTGGGTGAGTATACATGGGTATTTATATTTCTATGTAAATATAGACCTGACTTTCAGTATGTATTTATATTAAATAATAGCAATAATATTACTAACAATATTAATAGCCAACACTTAGTAAGCATGTGTTCTAGGCATTAGTTTAAGCACTTCACATAGATTATCTTGTTCATTGTTGGGGAAAAAAACACGTGACATGATATAATATAACATACTTTTGTTATTCCCATTTTACAGATTAGAAAACTGAGATCCAGAAATGCTAAGCAGCTCACTTAATTTCACACAGCTAGTATATGATAGAGCCAGGAAGTCTGGCTCTTTTAATCACTGCTATGCTACCTCCCAACTGTATTTGATATTATTTAATATTACTCCTGTACTCCATAATATCTTAATTTGTATGGTGTTTAATATTTTATAAAATACTTCCATATACATGAGTCTCATAACAAGCCTGTGAAGTGAGTAGGATAGGATTATTGTTCTTGCTTTATAGGAGAGAAAACTGGTAGAGCTGAAACCATGGGTGTCTTTTTGTGGAAGTATTTCTATGTTACAAATATACTGGGTGCCTCTGTACACAGAGAGTCATTCACATAAATGCACTGAGTGCTTATAACGTGTTAAGCACAGACATCTATCTGTAGGATGGTTAGTGCTGGCAATACAAGCTACAGACCTTCCCTGAAAGTGTCACAATCCAGTGGGAGAGAGAGGAAGACCAAGAATCATGGTACAGAATGTGTAGTCTCTAAGGGAGATATGAAAAGAGTGCTTATGGAGCACAGAAGGAGGGACCATCTGTGCCAGGGAGATCTTAGAAAAGGCAAAGTAGGAGCGGGGTGGGGAGGGGGGACGTTCCTGGAAGAGAGTATGACATATTGTGAGTCCATGTTTGTGATGATGACCATGTGTCTAGGCATGACTGTGTGTGGATCTGAGCGTGTACCTGTTTACGTGTGCTTACTCATGTAAGTATTAATTTATGTACATGCAGGTTGTAAGTGTGGAATGAGTAAGCCTGAACATAAATAGGATGTGTCCTGGAACCACACACCATAGCAGAATCTAACCTGCCCTGATATGTACATGCTCAAGCCCACTCTCTTTCCACTTCTTCATCTGCCCCCTGGACTATGGTGATTAGACCCCACCAGATTTTTCAGTCTATCAGTCTGAGTATGTAGCAGTCTAGTAGAGCCAGCCAGCTTGTGTGAATAATGGGGGATGAAGAGGCACAGGTAGGTATCTGTGGGTGTGCATCTATGTGCACACTTCCGGTGTGTGTGAATGCTTAGTGTTGGCTGTTTCCTTCTCCCTTCTTCTATACTACCTTGGGGAGTTCATCCACTCTTCTGTTTCCATTACCACCTGTATGTGGCTGGCTTCTGCCTCCACTTAAGCATCCTGGGGACATTTAAAATGTACTTCTGTGCTGGTGCTGGTAGAGGCAGGACTGGAAAGTATTGGCGCCCCTTAGTCCGTGCAGGCACTCCTACTCTCCCCATCCCCACCCCATTCTGGTCCAGGAATCTCCCAGAGGATGAAAAATGCGTACAAAGGCAAACAGTAGTTGTGCCTGCCACGAAGAACCCAGAGAGTCAATCCCAGGGGTGGGCTGCTCAACCCGCCTGACAAGACCTCTTTTTAGGGCAAAATTGATAAAGAAGGGAAAGCGAGGATTCCTCTCTCCACAGATACTCCTCCAGGGATTGGGGAGGTAGGGAGTAAAGCTACGATACTCTTTTATTTTTTAAGTTGTCTAATCAAAAAAGCTAACATGATTCCAATTAATATGTAATTTATTGTGACTAACAGTGTCTCTATAAGATGACAAAGATAATTTAACTGGATTTTCCCTCTTGTTAGAAGGTATATAAATTCAGGACCATGGGGTTGTGTAAGGCAAAGGCTGGAATACACTGGTGATTTGTGCGTGTTTACATCCTAGTCCAGTGCACAGTTGCGCAGCTGAATGTATTCGCATGTTGAGAGGCAAGAATGAAGCACAATAATCAACACATGCAGTATGCCATATTTTAACTTGAATGAATGAGTGGGTGAAGGGAAAAACAAACACGCTAAGAAAAGTAGAATGGTTCCTGAAATTACGATACCTTGATTGTGTTCCCAGTTCCACCAATGACTTAATCTATTGAAAGCTTTCTATGATCTGCTTATCTATTGGTAAATTAATCCAATGGCAGAATATCTCCCAAAAATATCAATATGCTTAATCAAGCCTTATTGAAGTGTATTTTGAAATGTATAAATGATCACTAATAAATGTTAGCTGTTGTATATCTCAGTACTTTATAGTCATTGTAGCACCTTGTATAGCATGTATTTCCGTGTTTGGACACAAATATTTTCCTAAACATTAAGGAAAGATGCTGATTTTGTGATATGCCAGGGAAATTTTTCCACAGTCAATATGGTGTTTATTTGCACTTAAACACTGCATCAATAATCTGAAAAAGAGAAATAGTCTGATTATGGCTAGAGGCTAAGGTTTCCATCATGGACTGCTTTCAACTGTTATATTTTATGGCACAGATTCAGCGGGAATCTGATCTGCTAAAATATTTGGGCTGTGAAAACTCCCACACTGTGACAGATGTCAAGTCCAATTAAGTGACTCATGTCCAGGTTTCTGTCCAATAGGATTTCCCATTAAATATCAATTTAGGGAAAAAAATTCCATCCCCCTTCTTAAGTCTTTATCTCTTCCACCATCGCTAGGCTGAATCAATTGGTACTAGGAGAGCCAAGAAGCCACACACGCATCTCTGCCTCTTTGCTCTAGCTCTCCCACTCTCTCCGGCCTTTCTCCGCTTCTCTGTCACTGTTACTCCGGGGGACGTTCACTTTTCACCAACCTTTCTCCAGGCATCTCCAAACCACTGACTATATATTTTGCTACAAGGTAAAGAAAGAAGTGGGTGAGGGCGGGGGATGTAACCAAGGCTTGAAAGACTTTGAAACGGAAAATAGGTGTCTGTTTATACAAGTATTTGAGGGAAGAGGAAGAGGCGACCTTAGCCCCGAGTTACAGTATTGTGTTCCTGGGAATTGGGAAGACATCAGCTGAACAAAGCCTTATCTCAAAAAAAAAAAAAAAAAAATCACTTCTGAGCAAGATCGCATCTCTGCCCTGCACTTCCCAGTTTCTCTTAGCTGTAACATGGGAAGGAAAGGAGTGCGATAGGAGCGGAATCTTATCTTAACCACCTTTCTTATTGATTCTTCCGCTATTAAAAAGTGGAGGAATCGGCCCTTTGATGCCATGGTGTTTATCTCTGCATCTCTCTTGTTATTTATAGAGACCTAGAAGAGGAAAAAAGGCACGGGACTTGTCAACACATCGTTCAAAAAAAAAAAAAAAAAACGAATTTCTTGAAATGTTCGAAAATATTTACAAGGAAAAGGCGTTTTTGATCTATCAACTAAGTGAATGAACAATCATTCATACCGTCCACATCCTGAGGTATTGTCATCCCTCGCTGTGGACACCAGAGAGATGACAGCTGCTTTTTCATTGTTGAATGTAATAAATATTTGCTGCTTTTAATATTTTCCGGAATTTCCTCCCTGATATTCCCTGGAATTTTAACTCTAAAAGATTGGAGAAAAGGTTATCAAAAAGGCTTTTACAAGGTAAGGCTCCTTTAAATCTTTTTTTTTTTTTTTTTTTTTTTTACAGCTTGAAACTAAGTTAGATCGTTCATGTTGCATTTATAGATGCATTTCAGTTAATTGTTAAATAAATAAAATGCATACACGACTTACCACTTACGAATATTTTAGAAAGATACATGGAGGAGAATTTAACATGCTTTTTGGGGGCAACCCAGGAACTTTTGACCCGAACTACAACTATGTCGAGTCTTATTGTGATTTTCCATTACTTGCATATTTGTTTATGTCCTTTCAAGCCGAATGTGTAGGTGTAAGTTGTTCTACTTATAAAGCGTGTCAGCGAAAAGCCCGCAGGGAGTCACATGCAGTTCACTTGGAGCGTTTGTTTTTATTTTGCCTCAGAGAACCTGTTCTCCTTGCAAGGAAATGAAAGCTGTTTTGGAGCCAGATTCACTCAAAAGCCAAGTGCAATGTTGGGAACCGATCGCACACCCCCTTGCTTTTGTTTTTCTAGCGGCAAACCGTCCTACACGTCGCCGACGCGGATTTCTTCCGCGACAAGCGTCGCTCGGGCGACACACGCCAAGCCCGGGCTTTGCAGCCTGGTCCTCCCTCCCGTTGCCCGCGCTCGGGGCGCGCAGCACCCGCAGGTGCCTTTCCCCTCCTGCCGGCCCCTTTCTGGAAGCCCGAATTCCCCCGAAGTCCACAGAGTCTGAGCGGGTCCCTCCAAGAAGGCGTGCAGTCGGGTTCCGTACTCCATGCACCCAGGAGGAGCCTAGAGAGATGGCCTTTCCAGAAGGGCATCGTTAGAGGAAGGCTAAGGACAGACTCGCTGGGCCCTTGCAGGCGGCCTGGGGCCAGCGCCGGGCTCCCGAGCTCCCGCCCCGGGAACGCCCGAACTTTGCCTGTGGAGAAGCGGCTCGGCCCCGGGCAACACGCATGGAGCCCGCCTCCTCCCGTCCAGGGCCCTTCCCCGTCCCTCCTCGGCCTCTCCTCCCGCAGCCACCCGGCCGCCGGCATTTTTCCGCGAGGTGGTCGGCCGACTGCCGGGCGCATTGTTTTCTCCCACGCCGCCGCGTCGCTAGGTCCCCGATGTGTGTGGCTGTCTGCGTGACAGATGGTGTTCTAGGAGCCCGCAAGGGCGTACGAGTCAATTTTCAGCTGAAAGTAGCCTCCACGTTTGTTTAGTCATCTCTTTCTTTTTACGGAGAAGCGCAAGGGGGGCGAGGAAGTCTTCCCGCTTCTGGCCGCTTGCTCTCCGGCCCGGGGTTCCTCTCGGCCCCCGCTCCAGAGCAGGGACCCGGCGTGCCCTCCCCAGTCCCGGCACCCCCGAGCACCAGAGCCGCCCCAGACCAGCATGGGGCCATTGGGCGCCAAGGCTCTCCGGCTGCTTTGCCAGGGGCCTTCGGGGCGGGTAGGACAGGTACGTCTCGTCTCCCCGCCCCCATTAACACCCAGATGTATTCGTAGTTAGCAATCATTCGTTTGTCAGGAAAGAGGAAAAAAATAGGGAGGCGGAATCGCAGAGTTGGTATTTGGCCAGAGGCGGCACAAAAACCCAGTCTCGGCCCTGCGGCCGTCCCCCGGACCAGGCCCACAGGCCGGTCTGTTTCCCGTAGGCCGAGGTGTTGACTCCAGGATGCGACCGGGGAACCGGCGCCGTGGGGAGGAGCGGGGCTCTGGTCTTCGGGCCTGTCCTCTGGGTGCCCTCCCTAAAGGCGCGTTCTGCTTGGCCGGGCGCACCAGCTCGGTGTGGGCTGCGGACGCGGGACGCGCGGATGCGGCACGGAGATAGTCCCTCCTCGAGACCGCGGGCAGGGCGGACGTGGTAGGCCCTTGCCCGCTCTCAAAAGGATAAGGCTGGTTCCTTTTATTGATTGATCTTCTGACTCCCCCTCAGCCTCCAAAATGATGCTGAGTCCGGACCAAGCCGCCGACTCCGACCATCCCAGCTCGGCGCACTCGGACCCGGAGTCGCTGGGCGGCGCGGACGCAAAGGTGCTGGGCAACGTGTCGGACCTGGAGCCGGTGGAGGAGGCCGAGGGCGACGGCAAGGGCGGCAGCCGGGCCGCGCTCTACCCGCACCCGCAGCAGCTGAGTCGCGAGGAGAAGCGCCGCCGCCGGCGCGCCACGGCCAAGTACCGCTCGGCCCACGCCACCCGCGAGCGCATCCGGGTGGAAGCTTTCAACCTGGCCTTCGCCGAGCTTCGCAAACTGCTGCCCACGCTGCCCCCGGACAAGAAGCTCTCCAAGATCGAGATCCTGCGCCTGGCCATCTGCTACATCTCCTATCTCAACCACGTCCTGGACGTGTAGGGCCGGGGGCGCCGCGGGAGGCCGTCGGACCGGCGTCTGCGAAGCGCGAACGCGACCGACGGGGGCGGGCGCCGCGGGGACGACGGAGGAGGCGGCGGCCCAGCAGGGAAGCCGCTGCGAGAGACTTGGACGAGGAAGGAAGCTCGCCAAATGTTCTCTCTGGTCAGCAGGGCAAGGAGGGAAGGTTTCCGACCCTGGGAGGAGGGGATGTCTGTGGAGCCTTGGGGCTTGCAGGGAGCATTTTTCAGGCCCGGCGAACCTCCTGAAAACACTGGAGATGAGCCACCTCCGGGCCTCCCCTTCGTGTATTAGGGTCCCTTCGAGGGTGGTTGCTTCGCCTTCGTTAATCTCCCACAAATCGTCATGTTATGAAAGAGTGAAGGAAGAAACTCAGAGTATAGGCTCACAACTTTAGAGTATCTGGAATTTTTCTAATTGGCAAATCACCAAACATTCTGGGGAGAAGATCTCTTCCAGTATAGAGATTTAAGGCACAGAAAGGTGGAACATGAAATTTTCCGTTCCGTTATGAAAAGAAAAAGATTAGAATCCAACTACGACAGACAAACCCTGAATATTTGGTAAAGTCAAAAAGATACATTGAGAACAAAGAGACACACTGTGGGAAGATTTGAACTGGGGGAGATTTTAACCCCAAGATATGACACTAACGTAGACAGGAATATCCATATTTAAATGGAAAATTTAATATCTGATTGCTTTTTCAGGCAAAGTGCCCGTTTATATATCCAAAAAACATTTATTTGTGACCTTAAACATGTGGACCCATAGGTGCAGTTAGAAAAAGACAACCTATTTTTATTTATGTTAGAAAAAGTAGAGTATTTTTTTCAAGACGTTTATTTTTCAGAGTGGTGATAATTTTACTTTGGATACTCTGTGCCAATTTATTTATAGTCGAGTGTTTACACTTTTTCCTGTGGAGTAATTATGTCTAACTTTCTAAGTGTTTGTTGAGATTAGACTGTGGTCTTTCTTTTTGCTCTAATTATATTGCACTTGTATAACAAATTTCCCACTTCTCCCTGTTTCTAAGCATATTTTATATATTAAGATATTTGTTCTTGAAAGGTCCTTTTGTTGTGAGATCAGCAACACTAGCACTTCACTATTATAGTTTTTTAAAAAAGTAAGTGTTGTTATTCTTATCTGTAGTTATGTTTGAAAAGTACAAACTGTTTATAAGGAGAGTAGTTTCTTTGTGTGTGTGACTGTGTGATGTTTGTGCGTGGGATGATGTTAGGAAATTAAGTTATTTTCCTAAAAAAAGAATTCAGAACTACTTTCTTCTGTGACAACCAAAAAGAAAATCTATAACCTGAAAATGTTTCATGTTCTCAGCTGTGAAACTCTTAAAACAAGGAGTGTATTTTAGAGACAAGGGGGAAAAAACCACATCTGCTATCCAAAGATTTTAGTCCTTTTCAGGGTTTTTTTGTGTCTCTATTGCTTTATATAATGCAATATTTTGTAGTGAAAATAGATATAATCTGGTTTCTATCCGACGAGTTTTTCATATCTCATGAATGGTGCGCTGTTTTGCATATAAATAAAGGTATCAAATAAAATCTTCTCCTTTATTTTAACCATACTGTCTAAAAATAATGACCATACTGACTGAGCATGAAATATCTTAATGGACTCAATTCCTTAGAAACTTGTTAAAAAAACAAACAAACAAACAAAAACTATACCATAAACATACTTATGTGTTAGGATATTAGATGTTTCTTCTAAACTTGGACAAGGATCAGTCTATAAATAGCTGGCCCACATATGATGGTGGCATAGAGCATGCTACTCTCAATAAAGAAAAAAATGATCGTGTTTATATAAGAGTGGTACCTGAATCATAGATTCTTTTGCTTTAAAAGGAACCTTAGAAACTAACCTCTTCAGATTAGAGTTGAGAAACTGAGGCCCAGAAGTTTAGGTGTCTTGCAGTAGTCACATAGCTACTCAGTGGCAGTGAGAAGATGACCCTGGATACAATGACTCCCAGTCCTCTTGGCGCATATTAAGAACAAGTCCTATATTAGTAGTGTAAGACTCAAACATTTAATCATGACAAAGATTCAGGACATTAAACCTGCAAACAGTAAAAAAAAATTAAGTCCTGGACCAGTCTTAAGATTTGAAGAGTATCACCTACAAAAGCCCATAGCTAGTTTATAAATGTGAAATATTCTATGTATTAGAAGACATTACTAACATATATGTTATATATATATAGAACCAGGGCACTAATGTACTGAATCTATATCACACCAAATCTCTGGCTGCGTAGTAAAAAATGAAATTATATGGATGCTGGTTTTATGCATATAAAGTATCTGTGGGATTGAGCATTTTTCACTTTTCACCCAGGTATCTTGAAATCAGGTTCACAGATACCTAATAAGTGGGACTCCATTCTCTTCATATGGGGGTGCATATTAGGAAAACGCTTCCCAGGACATGAAAAAGAATAGTGCCTTCCTTTGCCCTGTATCTGGACAATGTTCTGAGCAGTGTAGCAATGGCTGGGAACTCTGACTCGCAAAGATGTGCTGTCTATGGCATAGAGTGTTTGTAGGTTTCTCATCTCTAGGCAATGGGGAGAGAAGAAGACTCCCAGTCCTCATATCACTCTATTACATGACAGAAAAATCAGCCCTGCTCCTGTGCCAAGAAAATGAAGTCAAATTCCAACCTCTGGAACCTTTCAAGAGTCTCCCTTTCCTGGCTTATGAGCCCACCTTCCAACTGACCCACCATATCACTGATACAAATAAGCACACTCCTCCCATTCACATCTAGGAGGGACCTATCAATTCACTTCCCTAGACAAAAGGCCCTTGCCCTTGGAGTTGGTCAAAGGGCAGACAGGGTCAAAGGGCAGCATCACTTCCCAGCTGCACAGCCCACGTGAGCCCAGAAGAAAATGTTAGCAATGTTATTTCAAACCCAAAGCTGCTTAGCACCCTCCAAAGAGAAACACAGCACTGTGGGACTCTGTTAGACCAGAGAGCAGCTGGCTCATCCCTTGCATGTAGCATGAACTCAGTAACCGGGTAAGGGAGTAACAGTTCTTCTCTGAGTAATGATGACAGTAATCGTTAATTCTTACATTCAACAAATATTTATTAAGAACCTGCTAAGTGCCAAGCATTGTTCTAGATGCTAAGGATAGAGCAACAAATAAGACAAAGTCTACTGGAGAAGTGCAGTAGGCTGACAATAAATAAGTAAACAGTATTTAATTTCAGGTAGTGATAAATAGCGGTCCCTGGGTGGTGCAAATGGTTAACGCACTTGGCTACTAACTGAAAGGTTGGAGGTTCAAGTCCATCCAGAAACTCCTCGCAAGACAGACCTGGCGATCTACTCCTGAAAAATTAACCATTGAAAACCCCATGGAGTACAGTTCTACTCTGGCATACGTGGGGTCACCATAAGTCAGAGTCAACTCAGTGGCAACTGGTTTACTGATAAATGAAGAAAAATGAAGCAGGGTAAGGAAATAGAAAATGGCAGCTAGAGGTGCTGATGGTGGGTATTAGTTTACATGGGGATGTTAGGGAAGGCCTCTTTGAGGAGGAAACCTCTAAGTAGAGACTTAAATACAAAGTTATGAGCCTTATGAAAATCTGGAGAAAGAATGTTCTGACCAACACAAAGGCCCTGAGGCAAGAATGAGTTTGGAGGAGAGCAGGTTGAGTGAGGGGAATAGTGGCAGGAAGTGGAGTTGAAGAGGTAGTAGAGATGGGATGATGTAGACCCTTTTGGGGCAAGGGGTTTTTTATTTTGTTTTGTTTCCCCCTGACTATGAAGGGAAGCCATTGGAGAGTTTTGGGAAGAGAGCGATATGATCTCATTACACTGTAATGTCTCTCTGGATCATGATAGAAGGATGGGCTGTAGGAAAGCAAGAATGAAGGCAGTGTGACCGATAGAAGGCAGTAGTCCTGACGAGATGTGCTGGTGGCTTGGACTAGAGTGGGAGGAGTGGAGGTGGTAAGAAATGGTCAGATTTAGGATCTGTTTTAGGCTCAAGCCCCCAGGACTTCCTGATGGAGTAAATAGTGATGATGATGATAGCAAAGGCGGTATGTCCAGTGTTTTACAGTATATGAAACATTGTATTTTCACTTCCTATGTGGGAGGAAAGCATTATTATCCCTATTTCACAGATGATGAGACTGGGGATAAGATAGCATAAGTGGTTTTCCCAAGGTCGCACATTAACAAGCATACAGCAGACTTCTGACTCCGTGCGCCAGCACTTAACCGACTTTACCTTTCTTCCTCATTGCTATTCCTTTGTAAGGACAAAAGGGGCTGGTAGGTGAGTTCAGGCTTATGAAGGCTAACCTCCTTCCCCCCCTACAAGGGGCATGTTGGCCCAAATGTCTCTAATACAGTGGGGACACCAACCCAATCATTTCTTTAATGAGGCTTGAGTTAGCTCAGTTACTATCTGGGTCTTTTACCTGGGATCTGCTCTCCTAGGTGTTCCTCCACCATGTTAGGAAATCAGCAGGTTTTGGCAGCAACTACCTCCCACCTAAACCCCATGACTACTACTTGACTTACCCTTTTTCCGCCACTCTAGTTCTGGTTTTCAAAGCCCCTCTCCTGCCTCAGCCTAACCAGCAGCCCCCACAGTTGCTGCCGCTTGTACTGCCCTTCCTTCTCGCATCCTGTTAACATGTCCTGTTGCCACCAAACAGCCTGTGCCGATCACTCACCTTTACCTGCTGGCAGTGGCCTTGTCCTTGACCCCCAGCTTGCCTCTCCTTGGCCATACCCAGAACCACAGTCCCTCCTGCTGCTCCTCTCACTGCCCCTAGCTGCTCAGCAACTTGCCAGGGCATTGCTGCTCCCTAGAAAACCTAGCCTCACCTGGCCCAGCTGACAAGGCCACCTGTCCTGGAGGTTTCTCTGCCCAGATGGCTTCTCCTCACTTCTGCTACTGTCCAGAGACATTTAGAAGTCAAATGACAAAAGTCCTTGGCAGAGAAAACTTCTCTTCCAGGGAGAGGGTGAGGGGAGGGGCAGTGGCCGGGAGTGTGAGTGGTGGGGTGGAGTGGGAGAGGAGGAGCAGACTGAGGAGAGTGGAAATGGCTATGGGAAGAAATGAGACTGGATGTAGAGGGAGTGGAGGGCTCAGGGAGAGAACGCATGCTTCCCTTATGAACCCCATTCTTGGTGCTCCCTCCAATGGCCTTGCCCCATGAACACATGTCACCCGACTACTGATATGAGGTAAGTAGACAGAATCAACCTCTCTAATATTGTAGTCTATCCAATTCTCATCACTGCTGTCTGTCTCTGAGTGTTGGCCTTCTTCCTCCCACAAAGATGGGGAGGAAGGAAGGACCCAGCTTAAATGCATGCACAGCCAATACCCTTTTCTAGGCTTAGAAGGGCTCATTATTATTATTATCAATAGTAGTAGTAATATAAATATTACTAGTAAATATTATCACCAACTGAGTGTTTACTGTATGCTTACTAAGTCTTTTTCGTGCATTATCTCATTTAATTCTCAAAACAACCCAGTGAGTTAGGTACTTTTATTGTCTCCATTTAACAGATGAGGACATTGAGACAGAGAAATTAAATTACTTGCCCAGGGTCATAAGCCCCTGTTTGTCTGTTTATCAAAGTGCCTGCCTTTATCCATCATACTGTCCAGTTTTTCCTTTGACAGAGGTGCAGCTATACTATGCACAAGCCCTACCCTTGGCCCCTGCATGGCCTCTCCATCCATGTGCTTAGGGGAACCTTAGTGGAAGCCTAAGGAATGTGGCCTCTACTCTGCAGTTGTACAGGACCTTCAGTGCACAAGGCTGTCCAACTAAGGAGACAAGTGGAAGCTAAAATTGAGCCTGTGCTCTGCTTGCTAAGTGAAGAGTGTGCCCTGGCATGGGACTAAACTGCCTGGAGGAAGGGGAGTCTTTTCTACTTTGCAGGAAGACACTGTAGGCTAGTGGTGGCCCTAGACCAGTCCCTCCTGACGGAGAGACTGGAGCTGATCTGGCACTGCCCATGTCATTATTACTCACTGTCATGGATTGAATTGTGTCCCCCCAAAATGTGTGTATCAATTTGGCTAGGCCATGATTCCCAGTATTGTGTGATTGTCCACCATTTTGTCATCTGATGTGATTTTCCTATGTGTTGTAAAT